GGCTTTGAGCAACCTGCTCTAGTAGGTGTCCCTGCCAAACCCAAACCATTCTATGGTTCTATGCTTTATATGTCACTCGAGCTAATCATTACATTCTGTATTTGCTGAGTTTTGAACTGAAAGTGTTCAGTCTATTTTGACTTAATTTAGAAGGGAGTAGTGGACATAAGCTTTCTGGTCCTATTACTGTACATTTCTTCAGGAAGCCTCCTTAAAAATTCTTCCGTGGTAGAATACAGGCCATATCCCAGACCACTAATACATTACCAGAATCTCTTGATATTCTTTGTGTGGTAGAAAGGAGAAATTAAATTTCTAAAATGCTCATTCATTTTTAAGTAACTTTGTTCCTGCAGTATGTAAATGTCTGAGACCACACAAATGCACTGGTCTAGTGATAGGAAAGTGACCTGCTTGTTGTCCATTCAGGAATAGCTACGGTTTGTAACCATTACTGCAACATGCATACTGGTACTGTGATCTGTTTTTTTTTCCATGTGTCTTGTAATTCCCAACCTATTAGTTTCCAATGACTTGCACACAAGAACATCAGCAAGAATTTGTTAGGTTCTTGGAAACTTGTTTTCCTTCTGTGTAACAAGAAAAGATTCAACAGCTATTTTTAAGTAGGAAAACAGTGCGACTGTTTGCTTTATTAATTTTGTCCTACAGAAGGGAGATTATCTGAAGCTTTTAACCTTTAGAGAAACTTGGATGTGATTAATTTATCTGAGGGTCTAGTGTTGTTCTAAATGTCACAAGATGCCTGGTGTTCATTTGTTATGGATCTCCTGTAGGTTCCATACCTTCAGGATCTGCCGGACCCATACAGATACTTTTTTTTACTTGAGAGAGTATAAAATGGCACTAGATACTTACACTTAGTCATTTGAAGTACTGCCCTACTTTCACATGGTCATCGGAGCATCTCATCAGATCATTACTAGGTCCTGTTAGTCCATTCACAGTAGCACTTTATCACACAACTGGTTATTATGGCAGCCTACCTAAGAAAGAGTGAACATAGTTTGATGCCTAGTTAGTACTTGCAAGGACACTTAATTTATGGAGTAGATGGTCTAGTCCCTTTATTCTTTGGCTCTTCATCTCTCTTTGGCTTAATAAGACAAAAGTTGTAAGTTGCTGTCATTCAGTTAGTACCAGAAGGGTTGTGATCAGGGGTGAGGAGTATAATTGGAGGCCTGTGACTAGCAGTGTTCCCCAGACGTTGGGCCTGGGCCCTGTCTTGATCAACATATTTGTCAACAACCTGGATGAGGGGATAGAGTGTACCCTCAGCACGTTTGCTGATGATACAAAACTGGGAGGAGTGGCTGATACTCCAGAAGGCTGTGCTGCTGTTCAGCGAGACCTGGATAGGCTGGAGAGTTGGGGGAGAGGAACTAGTGAAGTTGAGCAAGGGCAGGTGTAGAGTCCTGCACCTGGGGAGAAACAACCCCATGCACCACTACAGCCTGGGGGCTGACCCTGCTGGAAAACAACTGTGCAGAGAGGGACCTGGGAGTCCTGGGGGACAGTAAGTTGACCATGAGACAGCAACATGCCTGTGTGGCCAATGGTATTCTGGGAGGCCTTAAAAAGAGAGTAGCCAGCAGGTCCAGGGGGGTTATCCTCCTCCTCTATTGTGCTGTAGTGAGACCACATCTGGAAGGAGTTCAGCGGAGGGCTCTACAGAGATGATATGGGGAATGGAGCACCTCTTTTCTGGGGAAAGGCGGAGAGAGCAGGGTCTGTTTAGCCTGGTGAAGAGACAACTAAGAGAGGATCTTACCAATGCTTATCAATATGTGAAGGCAAGGTGTTAAGAGGATGGGGCCAGACTCCTCTCAGTGGTGCCCAGCAGCAAGACAATGGGCAATGGGCACAAACTAGAGCACAAGAAATTCCATCTCAACATGGGGAAAAACTTACTTACTTTGAGGGTGCCAGAGCAGTGGAACAGGCTGCCAAGGGTTATGGAGTCTCCTTCTCTGGAGAGATTCAAATCCCACCTGGATGCATTCTTGTCCAATCTGCTTTAGGTGAACCTGCTTTGGCAGCTGGGTTGGACTAGATGATCCCCAAAGGTCCCTTCCAACCCTGACCATTCTGTGATCTCTATGGCAAACTTGGCTTTGTCTCCCCTAAGGCCTTCAGCCAGCCAGGCTGCAGATTGTTAGTTACATTTTAATTTCTCAAATCGTTTTGCCCTAAGACATTGTGCTGCCTTTTTTTTTTTAAAGACTACTGGCAATTCTTCATGTCAAGCTTTACCTATACTGACATAACTGTATCTTATTCAAGGACGTCATGTTGTGGAGGGAATGGATACTTCTGCCACCATGTCATTACTAACGAGCGTGGTTGGTTGAGGTCTCCTCATCTGTCAGAAACTTGTCTCAGCTAATCTCCTTGGCTTTTTGAGCAGACTTGAGGATAAGTTTTGTTTTGCTTGATAGACCAATGATAGGTCTGTTGTAGTGTTCTGAAACCCATCTGTGAAGCATGTGGAAGGATTTAAGCAAGCATCTTCATGCACAGCATTAAAATTTCAGATCTGTCTTGGCTACATCATTAATTCTTTAAATAGGAAGCTGTTGTACACACTTTCTACCATTTCTCTTTTCCAGGTTTACTGTTAATGATATTCCAGGTGGACTGCTGATCTTGTTTGGCTAAAGTGGGTTTGGTATTGCAGTCAGATTCACCAGCTAGTGAATAGTCCCAAAACTCTTCTTACCTTCAAAACTTAGCTTATCCAAAACTGTTTTGAGAGCAGTTCTTGGAATTATTAGAAAGGGCTCTGGAAGATAGCTGAAATCTTATCTGCCAAAGATTCTGCTGCAAGAATCTAAAAATCTGTAAGTGTATTTCCTTATGAATCTGAGAAGAGAAAGAGAAGCTGAACTTTCTGGATTTAAAATCAGTTATACCTAACCTAGGAATACAATTATTTGAATCACTTTTGAATAGAAGATGGAGTTAAGGCTGGTGGAATGGGAAAATAATATGTGTTCATGTGTTGGATTTCAGTGAAGTTGTACTTTGACTCTGAGTTTGTGGATGTCTGAAGCTCTTGTTGGACATAATTGTAGCATTCACATAATGTGCTTTACCCTAAATGGAAGGCACATTCTCAACTTTAATGCCATATTAAATGTAATTTCAAGCAGGATCTCAGTTAAATGTTAGCTCATTTACTTAGCGACTTTAAAAACAGACTAATGGAACTTGTTATCTGGCAGTTTCTTCATTTAAGTTGTTAATACTTTATGAAGATGTCCCTAAACTGTATGTCTGGAATAACGTAAAAGAGAATTATGCATGTCCTTTCACACTAAAATACTTGCTTCTCTACTGAATTGAATAAATCAGAGAGGATGGGGAATGCACAGAGTCCATTTGCCATTCCTAGTCTGGAATGCTAGTGGTCTCTCTGTTTTTAATCACTTCATTCTCCCAGGGTTCTGAACTTTTTAGTGATTTTGCAATTTAGAAAAGCTATTAACTACACAATTAAATCATGTGCCTACTACAAACTGTTAAGTGTACTTAATGCAGTCTAACTCAAGACCACCACTGAAGGGGAGTGCCTGTGTTCAGCCCTTTACCACCCACTGCTTTTGAAAATTCAGCAACTCTACGTGTGACTACGAAGTGAGCTAGATCATTTTATTGATCCTGGTGAAAATAAAACATGCTTTTAAAAAAATAAACAAAATAACAACAGATTTTTAATGGCATGATTAGTCTTAAATCAACTGTGAAACTGCATCTAAAATGATTGAAATGACAAGCAATCACGAGAATACTTGGATCTACTCTCTTAAGTCTCACGCTGTCTCTCCCCTGTCAAAAAGGATGAGAGTATTGGGTTTTTTTCTGATAGAGCTGCTAATATGTACTAGTTATCATCAGTTTGAGCTCTAATTAGAAATATGGGAAAGTATAGCATGAGTGCCACCAATAACAGAATACTGGCACTGCATGCTATCAAGAAATAAGGCTTGTCTGTGATAACAGAATTTATAAAAGTAACTTGGTGCATGCTAAAACCTGGTTACTCAGGTAAATGCAGACTTACAAAAAGGTCTGAAGAGACAGATGAAATATTTAAAGGCAGGTAAAACATGCTATAGCATCTGGAAGAAGTCTCATGATTACTAGCCCTTGTTCTCATGGGTGACTTCAACTTAACAAATGTCTGCTGGAAATACAATACAGGATAAACTCCATCCTTTATTGGATGTGAAGGGAAACAGTGACAAAGGATGAGGAAAAGGGTTAAGGGTGCTTAATGCCTTCTTTGCCTCAGTCTTTAATAGGAAGACAAATTGCTCTCAGGGTACCCAGCCTGTTGAGCTGAAAGACAGGGATGGAGGGCAGAATGAAGACTCCATAAGGCAAGGGGAAATGGATAGTGACCTTCTACACCACTGAGACACACACAAGTCTATGGGGCTGGATGGGAATCTCCCAAGGGTACTGCCCAAGCTGGCTGAGCGCCACAAAAGCCACTTTCAGTCATCTGTCAGCAGTCCTGGCTAACCAGGGAGGTCACAGTTGACTGGAAGTTATTAAATATGTGATACTTATCCAAGAAGGGCAAGGAGGATGTGAGGAACTACAGGCCTGTCACTTTCACCTTGGTGCTAGAGAAGGTTATGGAGGAGGTGATCTTGAGTGCCATCACGTGGAATGTACAGGACAACCAGGTGACCAGGACCAGTCAGCATGAGTTTGTGAAAGACAGGTCCTGCTTGGCCAACCTGATCTCCTTCTGTGACAAAGAGACCAACTTAGTGGATGTGGGAATGGCAGTAGAAGTTGTCTACCTGGGCTTCAATGCTGTTTCCCACAGCATTCTCCTGGAGAAACTTGCTGCACGTGTCTTGGACGAGTACTCTTTGCTGGGTGAAAAACTGGCTGGATGGCCAGGCCCAAAGAGTTGTGGTGAATGGGCTTGGCTGGTCACAAGTGGTGTTCTCTAGGCAATGTCGGGGCCAGTTCTGTTTAATGTATTTATCAGTGATGATCTGGATGATGCGATCGAGTGCACTCTCAGAAGTTTGCAGAAGACACCACACTGGGGAGAAGTGTTGATCTGCTTGAGGATAGAAAGACTTCACAGAGTATTCAGACAGCCTGGATCAATGGGACAAGGCCAACTGTGTGTGACTCAACAATGCTGAGTGCCAGGTCCTACACTTGGGCCACAACAGGTCCATGCAATGCTACAGGCTTGGGGACAAGTGGCTGGAAAGCTGCCTGGTGGAAAAGGACCTGGGAGGATTGGTCAGCACCTGGCTGAATCTGAGCCAGCAGTGTGCCCAGGTGGCCAAGAAGGTCAATGGCATCCTGGCCTGCATCAGGAACAGTGTGGGCAGCAGGACTAGGGTAGTGATTGTTCCCCTGTACTGAGCACTGAGGGGGGCTGCACCTTGAATTCTGTGTTCGGTTTTGGGCCCCTCACTGCAAGAAAGACACATCGAGGTGCTGGAGTGTGTCCAGACAAGGGTGACGGAGCTGGTGAAGAGTCTGGAGCACAAGTCCTGTGAGGGGCAGCTGAGGGAACTGGGGTTGTTTATCCTGGAGAAGAGGAGGCTCAGGGAAGACCTTATCATTCTCTACAACTACCTGAAAGGAGATTGTAATGAGGGAGTGTCAAGTGATAGGACAAGAGGAAATGACCTCCAGTTGTGACACGGGAGTTTCAGACTGGGTATTAAGAGGATTTGTTCTCTGAAAGGTCAGTCAGGCTTTGGAACGGGCTGCCCAGGGAAGTGGTTCAGTCACTGTCCCTAGAGGTGTATCTTAAGATACGTGTAAACATGGTGCTTGGGCACATGGTTTAGTGGTGGACTTTGTAGTGTTAGACTTACAGCTGGACTCAATGAGCTTGAGAATCTTCTCCAACCTAAATGATCCTATGATTCTAAATGTACAGTTGTCTCTTTTTGGCAGTGAGTTAGCAGTTCAAGTTCAGGCTTAAGGGGTTACGAGGGATTGAATGTTTTCGCATTTCCTTGTAGTTGCTCTCCGTGTCTGAGATGATTAGTAGAATTTGAAACAACAGTTCTTGCACACCAAGAAGATTGCAGGTTTTTGTCTTTCAGTCTCCTGTCTTTTTTACATAACAGTTTGCTTTCCTATCCATTATAACATGCAAATCTTGCATTTACATATTTTCTCTTGTCTTAGTAAGGTCCTTGTGACTATAAATTCTGACTAATTTGGACTTCATCAACTTGATTTTAATGAATTTCAGTTCATTAAACGTACGTGCCTGTGTGTCACAATCATCCTTTTACTGGATCATAATTATTTCATGCCAGATCTAAAAATATTTGAGAGAAGAGGAATATTCTAAGGTTGCAGTAAAATACGTGACTATGAGAAAAGACCACATTAATAATTCTGCTGTTTGGACATGAAAGACGTGATTCAATACAAAGACTAACAGGATTTCGATTAAAAATGTTTTCATAAGAGGCGTAAGTTGCTTTATAATTGTTTGGATCTCTGCTCCAAGTATGTTTCTAAACAACAGTTCTTTAAAAAAAGAAGTTGGAAATGTGAGACTTCAAACTGGTTCTTTACAACAGTGATTAATGAGTTAAATAAAATTTCCAACTCTGTATTCCTGTTGAGTTCAATAGTACTTACGTGCATGCCTGTTAGCAGTCAACACAGGGATGCTGAAGGCTGAATCAATGAAGATTGAATATATCCTCCTTCAGTTAGGGGAAGATTCTTCAATGCAGGGTTGAGATGCACTGGGATCGGGAATCTTGCTTTCAAGTTGCCTGTCCTGTAGACAGGGAGATGAATTTGGTTACCGGTACTCTTGATTTAGCATCCTGAGGTTTAAGTTTAGAAGGGTGACTGCACAAAGTTGTATAGAAGAATGCACATTATTTGCATTAAGTTTTCAAAAAAGAGTGATTTTTAAACAACTGACTATTTTCAGAAATGTCAATTTTGGATCATAGGCTTTAAGTCCGAAAAAGACCAATGTTCACACCTTATCTAGTTTATAGAATATTAATGAAGGTGTTGAATTTAGCAGTTCATTTTCTTTCTAAGGATATTTTGCATATATTGTTAAGCTATTATTCATGTCGATACATTTGCTGCTCTGATCAAACTGGAGTAGAAGACCCAATAGCTATTTTTACACTAGTGTATTAATCTTGCATGAAGTAATGGTGTCTGTATGCTACTTCCTTACAGCTGATTCTAATACTATGTGTATGTTTTTCATTTTGTCTTTTGATAGGATGATGAGGTGGTGGAAGAATATAGTGAAAATAATTTCTATGAATCCGATGAAGAGCAGAAAGAAAAGGATCGGAAAGTGAAGAACGCCTACACTATGGACCCAGATCACAGGCTGCTGTTACGGAATACAAAGCCCTTGCTTCAAAGCCGAAATGCTGCTGTATGACAAATTCCTTTTTGATTAAAATGTTAAACTACTAAGTATATATGCTTATAGAAAATATAAAAGATTGAAAAGTAAAATGTACACCTCTTCAGTAGTGGTGATAATACTCTCTAGTAACTGACAGGAGAAGTACAGTGATGCCTTCTTTTTTGACATTAACTTGGCTTATAAGTAGTACACCTGAACTGAATGTAATATATGCTCCAAATAGTAAGGACAAACAAAATCTTAGAGAAAATACAAGGACATTCAAATCCAACTTTTATAGCATGTGATGTCTGTACCATAACTAGCTTTTAATACTTCTGTCAGTTTTGGTGCTATAGATTCACAAAGAAAATTGTAGTTGTTAATAATTCATTAAGTTCTGCTTTCCTTTGAGTCTCACATTTTAGAATTAGGCAGTTATATGCCTACATTCTTTGTCAATCCAAGCCAGATTCTCAGTGCTGGTGCCTTGTCAGTGTTACAGGATAGGCATGACCTCATGATGTATATGGTACCTATAGTAAGCTCTGCAATACTTCCATAAGGTTTTAAGGTGCAGGTAAATTTTTAGAGCCAGAAAAAACCCATGCTGATAGTGAATCATTGACATTACTCAGACAACAGAACTTTATTTCTAACCTCAGTTTGTCCTGTTAATCAAGACTAGATGTCTTTGGGAAAAGACTTGCAGTGATAATGGATATTTGAATCATTGCAAAAACAATTACTGCGCCATGATTAGGTCACCTCCCAACCTGTTCTTGGTAAGCTAAACAGAACAGGTTTGTTTCCCCCCTGGAACATATTTCTAGATTCTGACTAATACCTTACTCTTTTCAAAACCACCTGTAATCTGTCAGCAGACTTTGGAAACAAATTGAATACAGTTTTAGAATTACAATTCTGTTAGAGCACAGCCTTTTGCTGAAGTCACTGTTCATTGTTCATACAGTGTTTCCTTATCTCACACAGAATAAGTATGTTACATATTTGACATCACTCTGCACTGAGAACAGGTTCAGTTGCTTATTTTCCACATTTCATAATTAATTTTCTTTATATCTGGTAAATATGGTATTGATTGTCACATTTACCTTCTTTAGTTTTATGATATTAAAGTTAGCTGAGATGTTTAAGTGCAGTTTGTCAAGTGAAATCATGCTTCTTTTAATTGCTAATACACCAATTTTTGTACCATTCACAGAATTTACCAGCAATTAAATTAATTGCTTTCTCTTGGACCTTAGATTTTTGTCAGAAATAAAAGATCCCTGTAGTATCTTGCTAACAATCTTCCAGTTATTTCCTCTGTTCATGTCCTAATCACTTCATTGCTTAACAATAATTTTTATTTCATTGGTACTAAGATTTAAGGCACCATGTCAAGTTCATAATGATGGTTTTACTCAGAGTCTTCTTTCTATGATTTGTTTCATTTTGAACAGGAAGTTGACCATGACAGTATTATAGGGAAGGTTATGACATGACTTATTCATTAGCATAAAATTCATCATTTGTCTTTTACGTATGAGAACTTCAAAAGAAAAATTAAAAATTAGGGTTATAAGTAGCTTGTATCTCAGTCTTCTGCTTTTTGCTGACCAGTATGTTGGTATACAACCTTATAGTTTTCACTTTCTGTTGGATTTGAGACTTCAGAAGTTGCCAGTAGGTGCAGCTGTCATTTTATAAACTACACAATAAAATAATGGAATGAAAGATTATAAATAGAAACTAAATAATAACTGATTTTGAAACTGTATTTTATAAAAATAAAAGCACAAATATTGCAGCAGTTTTAAACAGTATTATTAATTTGTACAGTTGATGTTAGCAATACTGACTTACTAAGGATGATACCAGTATGTTTACACTTTGAATTACCTACATTTTATTTTCTCTCTTTGTCCCTTTTCCTCTATCTCTATATTCTTGTATACAAAAAATACTGGGAGGAAAGAGAGGTACTTAATTAGCTTTGATCTTATAACTGAAAATACCTTTATCCTGATGATTTTCTCCCAATCTGCTTTGTTGATTTCGAAGTATAAGGATGATACCAGTATGTTTACACTTTGAATTACCTACATTTTATTTTCTCTCTTTGTCCCTTTTCCTCTATCTCTATATTCTTGTATACAAAAAATACTGGGAGGAAAGAGAGGTACTTAATTAGCTTTGATCTTATAACTGAAAATACCTTTATCCTGATGATTTTCTCCCAATCTGCTTTGTTGATTTCGAAGTACCTGGTCATTTGCTTTCTGA